AATTTGCGGAGATTTCAGTTCGCAATGAATTTGGACGAAACCGATAAGTGGTATGAATTCATTGCCGCCAATCAGTCACTCAAAGAACTTATTGTGACACAAATCTATCCGATCTCTGCATTTGAGCGCAAAATCATTGAATTCATGACACAATTGACTCGTTTTCCAGCGTTAATTGAGTTGAGTCTCCGTTTCAACGCCACTCATGTGCCCGAAGATAGCCTGAGTTCAGTGTACGAGTCGTTCAGAGAAATCGGCGCAAAGTGTTTGTCGCTCAAGAAGTTAAGGCTCGCACTCGCGGCACATCACCCGTCAGTTAATGACAAGATATTGGATACGATTAGACACTACCGGCGACTGCAGCGTCTGGAGCTGAATGTCAGTCTCGTGAACGACGACAACAACCCCTTCAGTGATTGGGATTCATTTGATTCAATGAGTCGATGGCCGCAAACCATACCTCATCTCAAACTCTATATGTGGCCAATAAGTGAGGAATTTATTACCAAAATCGACACAATCCTACCGGCGCTTCGGGTTCTGGACATCAGGTCGTCTGAGAGTAATATGTGTTTGTCAATGAAAGTCAATATGATCTTGGATTCAATAAAAGCGATATTTACAACTGAATAGATTACAAATTAAGGGATAACTTTGGGTTCAAATTAGAGATATTTGTCTGGATTTACAAAATTGTTAGAAATTTATTTTTGCATTTCATTTATTACTAAAAATAGGCATTTAATTCTATATTCTATGAAGTATTTAATAAAAATCTCTATTTTTATTCACATTTGATTGAGTATCAGTTTTAAGTGAACTTACATTTTATTTGAATTAATATAAGAATTTGATTTATAATTATAGAAAACTTTTCTGCTATAAGTTTAATACTCTTTGTTTCGGTAAACAGTGTTTGCGTGCATATTAGCATCAAATTACGATACAATTTACGGTATATTTATTACTTTAATATGTAAATCCCGTTTAATTTATGATAAATAAAAATGAATTAAACATAAGAAATGATTGATAAAAAAAACTATAACTTAAAAACATTAACACAAGAATTTGGCACAAAATTCAAATTAATTTTTACACCAATTAAATAATAATATATTTTACGGATAATTATTAATTACTCTTTGAATGCGAGATCTGTTGGTCTATTATCATCCGCTGATGAACTACTTGTGCCACCACTTACTGGCTCTTTGACCGCCGATTCTGGGCTCAAATTGTTTGGTTTATGTCTCGAGTTGACAACAATTTGTGTCTCATTTTGTGTCACTTTCTCTCTTTCTTTGGCGAAGACTACGTAACCAATGACTGCGACACTAATACCGATCACAACCAGTATTAATAAAATGATTAAAATGAGTGTCACTTGAGAGCTATTCCCCACTGAGTTCTGAAGTCCATTGTCTTGAGTAGTCGTATCCGATAGCGCACTGTCTTTAGAAGATATGTCTTCAAGAGTTGGATGAGTTGTTGAAGTCGTTTGTCTGTAACATAAACTAGTGGTAAAGTCTTTGTTCTCAATCGGTGTCCACTCGTCCATCAGGACGTCGATTGAGAATCTATTGGCAATCAAATGAATGGTTTTGCCGCTCATATAACCGGTGTTTATATTATGACCATTCAGCTGATGATAATAATCGGTTCCCGTCTTGAGTTTCGCTAAATTTATAGCCAATTGGAGACTAATATGACTCCGATTTGCCACTAAATAGTAATGATTTGTCACTATATTTGTCAGCAGATTATGTTTGTATATAATGATCGACGGTATGGACAGGTCTTTGGCTATAAGGATAGCTCTGTCGCCATCGATGTCTAAGACTCCAAACACGTCTTTACCCAACAGTCGATCCCATCTGTGATTAGTTTGTTTTGTGGCTCTATTTGTGGTTAAATCTATTGTCCATTCATTTCGTTTCTGTTAATGTATTAGACATTAATGATAACTAGTTTACTGAACACTTAATACAGACTTTAATGTTTAAAATCTCAAGAGTGGTGTCGCTGCGGAGGAAAGTCGTGTCTACGGGTGTGTCGATTGGATCACCGGTGAAGAAGTCGTTTATTTTGGAGATATTCTCTATGGTATCGGTTCTGGCATTCACTTCAGTTATGGTATCACTTGTGAAGTAATATAGCGTTTCATTGTTTTTCAACAGAATTACAGAATCGACCCGAAGTTGGCGTTGATTTTCATCACACAATGGACTCGTTATCTGTTGTGAGAAAAGTTTTAAATGTAATTAAAAAGTTATTAAAAAACTATTTTTTTGAGCAATTGGTGTACATTTGACTCAACACTCAATTGAAGTCTTAGGATAATTATAGATATAACTAGGAATTTGACATTCATTTTGGTTAACGTTTAAAATAGTTTAAATATGTAGTTGATTCAGATCTCAAATCATGATATTCAGTGTATTTGTAAGCATTGTTTAAATAACATGTAATTAAATGCTAACGAAATTTAAAATCATAGCAAAAATCTGATACAATAGTTAAATAAAACATTACAGTAAGAAGTGATTGTAATTATTTCAACAAATATATTGCTTTATAGTGAAAAGTCCTTGTACAGAATTACAGTATTTTATTGTCAAAAACTAATTGGAAATTAAACTAAATATTGCAGTAAATTGACAAATTAGTGTTTTATTGTTTGTGTTTAGTAATTTTATATATATAAATTTATTTTACGCCCAAACTTACACTACAGTAACATTTTAAAGCATTTCTAAAGTTTTTAACTCATAAAACAATCATTAACTTCGAGACACACTTTCCCAGCGAAACACTGGTGCCCTCACGTCTATTGGATACCTATGGGCACAGGTATGCCGTGTTCTGTCTTCATTCACTCAAACCATATGTGTTTCGGAGATTTAAATTACATTTCACGCCATTTATATCCCGCACTCATTCATCACTTTATATTTAAAATAAACCAATGGAATAAAAACTACTTTTATAAAAATATTTGGTATTAAGTACATAAAATAGTTTCATAATAAATATAATCCATTTCATCAAATGTCTGAATAGTTTGTCAATGGGATCGGGATGTGATTCGTGGACTTTTATTGCTTTTTGGTGGGGAAATGGCTTTGTTTAGTAACCCTTTGGTCTCAGACGCCAAACTCCCTGTGTTTGAATGAAAAGTACTGCTCGGAGTGTATAGACCTCTCGATACTTGACGTCTCCTCCCATATGTGACCACAACTTCGACCACAAGAATCACTCCTATTATCAACAGAACCGCCAATACTATCA